TGTTGTCCTTTGGATTAAGTATAAACATACAGGAAGTCTGCAATTCTGGGATCTCGGATCACTTTGCAGTACTGTTTTCTGTCACATTGCCTGGATCCTTGGATAAACCGTGTGCCCCAGCGCGCCAGGTGCGCACGATAAACAGCCAGACTGCCTCGCGCTTTTTATGTGCTTTTGATGGCTCACTGTTTCACATGAGTAATATGGATGATGTAAATGTTGATCAATGGCTCTGTGTTTTTAACTCGATGTGCTCGGACTTGCTGGATGAAATAGCTCCACTGGGAAGTAAAAAGTCTAAACCAGCATCGGAGCCATGGTTGAATGAAGTCACGCGCGCATGTAGACGTGCATGTAGACGCGCAGAGAGGAAATGGAAAAAGGACCGTTTGCAAGTTTCCTATGAAATATTAAGAAACAGTCTGGCGGAATACCAGAAAGCTGTTAAAGCTGCAAAAACTCAGTTTTTATCCAATCTTGTTTCCAGTAATAGCCATAAGCCACCCTTTTTAAAATGTTAAACTCTCTTTTAAACCCTTGTGATTGTGCTGACGTTGAATCTTCAACTGAATTATGTGACAAATTTCTGTTGTTTTTCCATGAAAAGGTGTGTGCGGTTAGGTCCTCTCTCACTCCCTTTGTGTCTGAGCCTCAGATACTCTTTACAAGTGCGGCTGTGTTTGATCACTTTGAGACGGTGTCTGTCTTTTTTAACTAAAGTTGTCCAACAGCTGAGGCCTTCAAACTGTCCACTTGACACTATCCCGTCTCGCCTTTTTAAAGAAGTATTTCTGACACTTGGTCCTTTTATTTTGGACTTTATTAATTCTTCACTGCTGTCCGGCTGTTTCCCGGCTGCTTTCAAACATGCTGTGGTCCAGCCCCTGTTGAAAAAACCAAACCTTGATTCCACAGTGTTATCTAATTTTAGACCTATTTCTAAACTCCCATTTCTGTCTAAGATAGTGGAGAAAGTTGTATATGACCAACTACAGTCCCACCTTGATGAAAATGGAATCACTGAATTATTCCAATCTGGCTTTAAACCCCGGCATAGCACAGAAACAGCCCTCTTAAAAGTTTTAAATGATTTGTTTTTAGCCGCTGATGTAGGCAAATCTACTGTTCTGGTGCTTTTAGATTTAACAGCCGCATTTGACACTGTAGACCATGCCACACTCTTATCTCGCCTAGAGCATTACGCGGGCATTAAGGGTACTGCCCTTCAGTGGTTTAAATCGTTTTTATCTAACAGAAGTTTCTCAGTTCAGCTAGGTGACCACTCTTCTTCACCAATGTCACTAGATTTCGGCCTGCCTCAGGGAGCAATTTTAAGCCCTGCTTTATTTTCACTGTATATGCTTCCGCTTGGGGCCATTTTTAAGAAACACAATGTGAGTTTTCACTGCTTTGCAGATGATATTCAAGCCTACCTCCCACTGAGCATTAATGACTTTACTGCAATTAAAACTTTACAAGACTGTCTTAAGGAGGTGGTATCATGGTTGGACTCAAATTTTTTAAGTATTAACAAAAACAAAACTGAAATTGTAGTCTTTGGGAAAACAGACTGTCTGCAGGGCTGGGACAGTGCCATCGGCCCATTAGTTTCATTCTCTCGCCCAAGCACAAAAAATTTAGGAGTGATTCTTGACTGTGGTTTTAAATTCGACAAACAGGTCAGTGCAGTGGTAAAAAGCAGCTTTTATCATTTAAGACTACTCAGTAAAATCAAGCCCTATCTCCCCAAGAAAGACCTAGAGAGAGCAGTCCATGCTTTCGTGACATCGCGGCTGGACTACTGTAATTCGCTGTACTGCGGACTCGAACGGCGCTCTCTCCGCCGCCTCCAAGGGGTACAGAATGCGGCTGCTCGGTTTCTGACAGGGAAAAGAAAAAGGGACCAAATTACCCCTGTGCTGGCCTCACTACACTGGCTCCCTGTATCTTTTAGAGTGCAGTTTAAAATTTTACTAATAGTTTTTAAATGTTTAACTAATACTGCGCCACTTTATCTTTCGGATATGCTGTACCCTTATGCCCCTGCCAGAGCATTAAGGTCAGCAGACCAGCTCCTTTTAACCGTCCCTAAAACTAGGCTCATCACCCGAGGGGACAGAGCCTTTTCAGTGGTAGGACCACGGCTCTGGAATAGCCTACCACTTTCTGTTAGATCTGCAGAATCCGTAGATCAATTTAAAAGCAGGCTAAAAACACACCTTTTTTACATAGCTTTTAACATTGAATAGGCAGGTTACATTGGCAGTTCCACTACTGTATGTTTTATACTTTATTTGTACGTAATGTTCTATTGTATTTTGTTATTTTGTAATTGTACTCTGACTAACTGATCCATATGTACAGCACTTTGGTCAGCGGAAGTTGTTTTTAAATGTGCTTTATAAATAAATCTGACTTGACTTGACAAAGGACAAGATGGATCCTCTCCTACCCAGAGGTTTAGGTTCTGCGGTGATGGGAGAACATCATATGTTGACCTAATAAGGAAACTGATCCTACTCTCTTCCATTGACCAAAGGTCTTGCCAGCCCATCTTACGTTGTTCCACACTCTCCCATCTCATCCACTCTCCCTTCTTGGCCTGGGAAATGGCCTTTATACACCTCATCCTCTCCTCCTGCTTACGCACCTCGTTGACTACCAGCTTTGAGCTGGGCCTGCTTTGTGCCATTTAGGAGGAGCTAAACTGAGCCCAAAACCCCCTCTTCCATGCTGTACCTGTCCCACGATATCCCCAATTTGAAGGGCAGCCTTTGCCTCTACTACAGATTTCTTTGCTGACCACTTTCTACCAGTTTTTAACACAGGGGCTGCCTCCCTTAAACATTTGTCGCGTGACTCTACTAAGGTCATTTCCAGTCTGACCTTGGCACACTTAAACTCCTCGGTTAAAGCAGAGACTGGCAGCTGCAATATTCCTTTACTATAAAGTCCCACTCTGCTGAGGCAGCGTGGAACTCCCAACCATTTCCTGATGTATGAACTTATTAACGCTTCCAGCTTATCCACTGTTGTCAAAGAAACGTCATACACGGTCAGTGGCCACAGCAACCTCGGCAGTAGACCAAACTGAAAGCACCAGAGTTTTAGTTTGCCAGGTAGAGCACAGCTGTTTATGCTCTTCAACCCTTCCACTGCTTGTCGTCTAACTTCTCCCACCCGAACTGTGTCCTTTAGATCCCCATCGTACCATCTCCCAAGACTCTTCACTGGCTTCTCAGAAACTGTTGGTATTGCCTCACCATTAATGAAGAATGTTTTATCTACTACCTTTCCTTTAACTATCGAGATGCTCCTTGATTTAGAGGGCTTACATTGCATTCGTGCCCATTCAATATTATCTGTTAACTTCCCCAATTAGTGCAGGCTACTGTTGTAGTCATGGTTGTCATGTCATCCATGTATGCTCTGATTGGTGGTAGTCGCATCCCAGAAGCCAAACGCTCTCCTCCTACTACCCATCTTGATGCCCTAATGATTACTTCCATCGCCATGGTAAAAGCCAGTGGAGAAATGGTGCATCCTGCCATTATTCCAACCTCTAGGCATTGCCATGCAGTGCTGAATTTTGGAGTTGAGAAACTGAATTGCAAATCTCCAAAATAGGCTTTCACTAAATTTGTTATTGACATTGGTACTCTGAAAAAATCAAATGCTGCCCAAAGAAGCTCATGTGGCACTGAACCATATGCATTAGCCAAATCCAGGAATGTCACATGGAGCTCCTTCCTCTCCTTTTTAGCTGACTGAATTCGTTGCCAGATAACATTGATGTGTTCTAAGCATCCTGAGAACCCTGGAATGCCCGCTTTTTGAACTGAGGTGTCAATGAAGCCATTCTTTTACAGGTAGGTGGACAATCTCTGGGCAATAATGCTGAAGAAAATCTTACCCTCAACGTTTAATAGTGAAATAGGACAAAACTGACTGATGCTTGTAGCATCTTTTTCTTTAGGTATAAAGACTCCACCTGCTCTGCGCCATGCTCTAGGTACAACCTGTTTTTCCCATGCCACTTTTATCAATTTCCACAGAATTCGCAGAACTCCTGAAGCACTCTTGTACACTCTGTACGGAACTCCATTAGGCCCTGGAGATGATGAAGCCCTTGCCTTTCTCACAGCCTGCTCTACCTCTTTCCACTTAGGTGCACAGACCTCCATTTGGTATTCTGGTGGGTTGATAGGTGGTATGTCTGATGGAATTGACATAGGCTCATGCCTTTTTGCATCTGTTTGCGTGTCCTCCAAATATCTCTCTAGCTCAATCCTAGATGTTTTTAAAGTGCCATTCTTTCACTGGTGAATAACTTCTTTACGAATTTGAATGGGTCTTTATAGAAATTAGCCCTCGCACGTTCCTTCTTTTTGTAGCGTTTTCCGTAGGCGCTCAGCTCTGCGTAATGTTGCCAGCTTATCTTTTATGGCCCTTTGTAAGAGACACTGCATGAAAAGTGGGGTTTTCGTCCCTTTAAACTGCCGTGAATATTGGACGTTTTCAGCGTCGCGCGTTCGCGTTCGTCTGTGCCGAAAATCGCCGGAAACGTATAGGCGCCCCCGCCCCCGCTTGCGCCTCTGCCCCCACGCGGGATTAACAACTCAATTACCATATGAAAAGCAGCAGCAGCAGCGTCAGCAGCCCGACCAAGCTTCTCAGTCATTGGGTTAAACAAATGACATCATCAAATCATCAATCACATCTGATTGGTTGGCAGATCTGTCGCTATTGGTCGTCCTGGACCTTTAGAAATACAGGCTTGGGTAAACCCCTCCCCAATAATAATGATTATTATTTATAAATGATATATATAATCCTGTATTAAAAATACACCACTTACTGGAGACTATATTCATGTGATAAAGCCATATGATGTTACATTTTGTATTCATGTTAATAACTAGGACATACATTTATGAAGAACATGAAAAATTTCTGAGACAAATGTTGATTAAAACTTTTTATTTAAAAAAAAGAAAAGCAAAAAAAAAAAAAAAAAGCAAATACATATTTACAAGCAATAACAAAATATATCAAAAGCGCAGCTAGGGGATGAAATGTCTGTCCACCTCTGGGCCATGTGGTGGTGGCTTTCTGTCCGAACATGATCCACTGTACAGACGCCGGTGACGCAGTGCGCTGTACGTGGGATTAGCCTCGAGTCTTATCTGTAGCGTGCAACAAAGGTCACTGAGCTCCTGGCTGCGGAAACTTGGGGGTCGCACAACCCACCCTGACACCCCCTCAAAGCTGCCATCTTCCTCATCGGACATTAGATCAATGGTGACGCCTTTCCAGAACGCCAGTTCCTCTGCTGCCAGTACACCCTGCCTCGCTTCCAGAAGCTGTTAACACAAACAGAACAGACAGTCAGTATGCCTGTTTGTCAACCATCCCAATACTGCTGACCAGCAATATATATAATATATATATATATATATATATAATACCCAATAAATCTTACCCGCTTCCTTCTTGATCGGTACCGGGCAGAAAACTTAACGGCTGCCGCCCTATCGGCAAGATCTGGCTGACTGTACCGGAAGTTCCGGCGTACCGTCTCGTAGTGGGTCTTGCATGCAGCTGGAAAACAAAATTTGTGTGCATTGTAAATAAATAGCGTGACCACAGTACATACATCAAAAACAATATTAACATAAAAACAATATACACACCCCACAGTAACAGATACTTACACACAATGGCATCGTTGTCAACACCATGTAAATCCGGGCTTGCGTGCAGAGCTCCGACCAAAAACGATGTGACCGCCGCATTATAAGGCGAACACAGTCTGTGAAAACAAATGTGAGATTAAATAACAGTAAAAGAAATATGAATTCGCTTTCTACACAGTAGATCGCAGGATTTGTATGTAACGTTATGTCTTACCCTTGCCCAGCATCATAGCGCCTGAGATTCGTCTCGGAGTTGTGCAGGCGACGGACGGCTTCCTATGAAACAAAATGAAGCAGAACAAAAAAAAATACATTGTGAACTTACTTACTGTGAACATACAGTGATTCTTATTGTTTTTAGTTTAGAAATTACCATGTCTTACCGCAATTTTCGGATTGTTCAAGCGTCTTTTCCTCTTGCGTTCTTCTACACGTGAGTCGTTGTTGGACTCGAGAGCAACCACCCTCTCTGCCATGGAGTCTAATTTGTCGTTCAGTGCTGAGAACTGCTGACTGACCTCGGAAGAAAACTGAGTCAGCTGGCGAGACAACCCACTGATAGCAGACAGCAGTTTCTTCTCGTCTGTTGCGGGACTGGCTGAAGCTGGTCGTTGGAGAGGCCCATGTCAATACCAACACTGGGCGTATTCTTTGTCTCCCTAATCAAACACACCTGATTCAACTCATTAGCTCATAATCACATGGGTTGAGTTGAATCTGGTGTGTTTGATTACGGAGACAAAGAATACGCGCAGTGTTGGTGTGCCGCCAGGAACAGGGTTGGGAAACACTGTCCTATGGTCGCGCGAGTTGTTCGGCGTGACCATGACCTCGCACGTGATCTGTCTTGTCCAATCACAGGCGAGGTCATTGTCAACATACGGGTATTTCCCGACCCGCCACCATTGCTGTGGGCAGAACATTAGATGAAGCTGAAACGAGTTAAACAAAGTGAAATGAGTTTTGTGTTAAAAAGTAAAAATGGTCATCTCCTGCTGGTCATAATGGTCATATTATGGAAATTTGCTTGTAAAACGACATTCTCTGGTAAAACTTTGTAATCAAAGATTGCGTGCGTCTCCGGGGAGGTCACGTGATATTAATTGGCCTATAGGAACTATGTATTTGAGCATAAAAATACACACACGAAGCCTACACAAGAAACTCCGAAGAGAAAAAGATGGAAGTGCCTAAAACTAAGAAGCTAAAACGGCGCTTTTGTGAACACTGTGATAATGAACTCTCTCACTCACAGTATTTTTACCATAAGACACTGTATCTTGGGAATGGCGTTTGGGAAAAAAAAACCCAAAAGGGCTAACGTTAACGTTAGATCAGTAAATGCGCAGGACGTGTTGTCTTCAAATGACCTTGTCATTGGTAACGTTAGCTATGCACCATCGATGTTCGAAGACCAAGAAGAGAACTTGGTTAGAGTTGAAGAATGTGAAGAAAGTGAAACAATGCACCCCAAGGACCCAGAAAGAGAATTAGAAGAAGTGATGGAAGAATCTGAAGAAATGGACCCACCGACTGACAATTCAGACAACGGTAAGCAGCAAATTGACGTATATATTCTATTGAATGTGCTTACTGTAATTTTAAGCGTTCACTTAATGTCACCCTGTTTGCCAGAGTTGGGTATTAAAGAGTTATATGTACTCCGTTACATGCAGGTCTATTTAAGTAACTTTTTTGAGTAAATTGTACAGAATAGTTCATCACCCTCTTTCGGTCTTACTTTAGCAGATGAGTACAGTTTGTGGCTACCTCTGCGTTTTACTACTGTTATGAATGCAAATATAGACTGTTGTTTACTGATGTTGTGAATGCACATATAGAATGTAGGCCTATCTTCTAATGGATTATCTGTTCTGCTTTGCATGTTTTAGATGAAACAGAAGATGATCAGAACATTCATCTTTTCCTTGACACCAGCGATTCAGATTCGGAGCAAGATGAAGAAACAAACATATGCTGTGTTGTGGTAAGTTGAAAAACACCTTTTAACATAAAAGTAAAAAATTACATATAGGATTATTCAGAGCTCAAGCTATAGATGGATGCCCACATTAATTGCACAAAAGCTAGCTGATTAAGATGCAGGGCTGGGCGATATGGAGCAAAAAAAAAAGATCTCGATATATTTTGCTATATCTCGATATACGATATATATCTCAATATTTTTAAAGGAAAAATAACCCCCCAAAAATACTGCAAAAACAAATATGTCAAATACCACAGTCTTTTTTTTATTGAAGTGCAAAGAGGTATGCAGTTCATGTAGGAACAAAGTGCTTCTGAGACATAAAAAATAAATAAATAAATAATCCCTGTATACAAAAATAATAATTTAGTGTTATAATAATAGTTATCTGTATAGTGTTTGGAGTGTTGCCAGAGCTAGTGGGTTTAGTGGCCAGGATCCCTACGGCCGTTTCACACCGCAAGCATGAGTGGCGCGTGAGCAGCACGTCAGCGCAACTACATCATCACTGCAGCTGCAGACACGTGCGAGTATTCACACTGGAAGCGTTTGTACAGCGTCACAACAGCGGCTCCCAGGCTACATATAAGCAAGCATTTCTTTACAAAGACTTTTGTTAAAGGAGTCATATAATGGTACATGCACTTTTTCAAGTTGATTGTACTGAAATGTGTGTTGGCAGTGCCTGTACACAACCATCATATAATGATAAAAAGCCATCCAGTGTTTTTGTTTTAATCTCCTTATATGTTTTCCCCTGCCTCAAATCGAGCCGTTCGACCGTGTGACGTCACACGGTCGGAAGCCCCTCCCGCGATTGTTGATTGACAGCCGGGTTTCAACACAGAACCGCCCTCGCTCATGAGCCAGCTGTCAATCATAGTCTGCTTTGACCGGCGCGGTCATTGTTGATATGCTGGAGCACTGTCTATGAGCAGAATGGCGTCTAAGCGATTGTGGTGTTCTGTTCTTGGGTGCAATAACGAACACAGCAGTCATTTTAATGTTCCCAAATCCGAACCGCTGAAGACGCGGTGGCTGAGTTTTGTTTTTGAAGGGAATATTCCCCACGAGCAACGTCAATGTTTTCATGTTTGCGCGAATCATTTCTCAGCAGACTGCTTTATAAACGAGGATCAGTATAAAGCTGGTTTTGCTAAGAAGCTACTCCTGAATAAAGGATCGGTACCAGCTATTCGTGTTCCTGCTGAACCTCCAGAAGAACTGAAGTGAGTGTAACGTTTTATTAACCTTTATATTAATATTTATATCTTTGCAAATCGCTTGCACGCTTCACGATGAATGAGTCTAAGGTTTACACTCAGGGTACATTACGGCATGTTTTCTATGTACGACGTTCTCAATATAATTCATAATCCCACGTTTATAATGAACAACGCGTTATGGTTATTGTGTTACAAACGTGTAAGTTACGCACAGAACAGAAGGGCGGAGTGAGCACAGCTCATGATCATTTAAAGTCATATGCACTGAAACGGCGTGCTGAAAACAGAGCTGTTTTTGACCAGGTAAAATAAGTGTTTTCTTACAATACTAATGAGAACTTTTAATTAAAGTATATTACAAACTTTTAATTTAGGCCCTAAAGAATCATATTAGCTTGTACAAAAATGGCATTATATGACCCCTTTAAATTTGTTTTTAGAAGTTGGTAGACTTGATATACTTGAAGTTTGTTCAAAGCCCAAACTGAATAATTAAAAACAAGTTTAAGTAGGGTATAGGTAGCCTACATTTTCTATAATATTTTAGTCTTCATTTACTTTTTCTGACATACTGCAGTTCTTACACACTAGACATGCAAATTCTGTGCATTTTGGGCACTTTTTGTGTGAAATCATTAATTTTGTCCATCAATGAGCAGCGCTGCAAAAATAGACTCTCCGCCGAAACCCCCGCTTCACAGCTGCTCACGCGACGCTCCTGCTTGACGCCGTTAAACGGCCGTTAATCTAGTGCACTCCTCGGGGGCGAGCACAGCACAGATAAGGCAAACAAGTAAAATGGTGAAATCAGAATTAAATATAAAATATATATATACATATATATATATATATATATATATATATATATATATATATATACACGATATGTCAAAATCCATATCGTGTTTAAAAAATATATATATATTTTAAATATCGAGATATCGCCCACAACTAATACACATGCTTTTTTCAACCTGAAAACAGAGTGAAACTGTACATATGACAGTCTTTTCGGTATCAAATGATCACACTCATTGCACAAAAGCTAGCTGATTAAGATGCACCTTATTCATAGGATGCACACCATACATAGGATGTAAGTATAGAAGAATGTGTGTTTTAAATTTAAATTGTACTTAAAATTAAAATTGTAATTGTACTTTACATTTGCAGGATGAAGAGGCGGGGGAATACCTGGCTGAGGAGCAGAGTGAAGCCTATCCTAACACGCAAGATAACGAGGGACGTGGAAATGATCAGTCTTCAGAGAAAAAAGAAGACCTACTGATGAAACTTCTGGCCATGATGATTTTGTCATGGCAAACAACCTTCAAGATTTCTGACAATGCTATTACATCACTTCTTCTGTGCATCAAACACTTCATGTGGATAATTGCAAATGTTCTCTGTGCTGATTCCCTAACTGCCTTCGCAAGCAATATTCCTAAGACTTTATTCTCCTTGAGGAAATGGACAGGTGTCCTCCGTGACAATTTCCTACAATATGTGGTGTGTCCAAAATGTATGGCAGTGTACACAGTTGATGAAACCTATGAGCTCAGACGGGATGGTACTAAAGAGTGCAAGACTTGCGGTTACATCAGATTCTACAAACACCCAATGGCTGCGCAAAGGAAGAAATGTGGCTCTGCTTTGCTAAGAATAGCTAAATCTACCAGTGGTAAAGAGTATGTCTATCCAATACGACCTTACTGTTACAAAGGTGTTGTACAGTCTCTGGAAACACTTGTTAAAAGACCTGGATTTGAAGAGAAATGTGAAGAATGGCGGAAGCGGAAAATACCTGATGGTGTGTTAGGAGATGTATATGATGGACAGGTTTGGCAGGATTACCAGTATGTGAATGGACTGCCTTTTTTAGCAGAGCCAAATAATTTAGCCTTGATGCTGAATGTGGACTGGTTCCAGCCATTAAAAAATGTACCATATTCAGTCTGAGCCATCTACCTGGTCATTTTGAATCTACCGCGTGAACACCGTTTTAAAGAAGAAAATATGATTCTTGTTGGACTAATACCTGGCCCTAAAGAACCAGCTCTAAACATAAATGCTTACTTAGAACCCTTGGTTGATGAGCTCCAAGAACTTTGGAGTGGAGTTATTTTGGAAGACAACTCCTTCATAGGACACCAGGTTTACAGAGCAGCTCTGCTTTGTCTTTC